CTCGTCTTCCTCGTCGAATGATGATTCTTCTAATCTATACTACCTGTAAAAGTCTTTATATTGTATATACTACACAAATCGAATTGTCAATAGATTTCAGTAGGATTTTACATGCATTGCTATCATCATCTCTGAAATTTGGGTTTGGGCTCAAGAGGAACGGGTTAGCTCCTTAGTCAGCACAAATTTTTCAAAAAACTCCGGCCGAAAAAAGTTCTCGAGACTCCCGGATAGGTGTGTCGTTTCTCTCCAAGACGAATGTCAAGGCCATCGTCACAATGAGGGCTCACTCTCTTCTTCGGACTCAAGTTCGCTCCCTCACCAGGGTTTCTAGAGCTTCAACTGGACTCCAATGTGACCTCTATCGACGATGCGCTACAACTACTCCTCTCCGAACCTTCACCACAGCTTCCCTACCCAGAGTCCCAGTGACAGGGCGGTGGCAGCAGGTCCGATATGCCTCTACGGCGGCTTCTGTGTAAGACAATTCTATTTTAATAATTTGTCAGAAAGACAAAAAAGAAATGTGATCTGGTTGGAAATGTTAACGCTTTGGCGTGTGTCGCTCTAGGTTGGAACGTGCCGCGGCAGACCCAGCTACACTCACTCAATCTGCCATCATTGAAAATATGGACGAAGCAGAAATGAAACGGTTGTCGAAAGTCCGAAATATTGGAATTGCGGTATGGCACCTTTATATGGACCCTTTTTCTGCGAACGTAGCAATTGTACCATGAGATACTGATCTTGTCCATACAGGCGCATATCGACAGCGGTAAAACAACCTCGACAGAGCGAATTCTTTTCTATACCGGGCGTATTGGAGAAATTCACGAAGTCCGCGGGCGGGATTCCGTCGGTGCTAAAATGGACTCGATGGACCTGGAGCGTGAGAAAGGAATCACAATTCAGTCCGCAGCTACCTTTTGCGACTGGGTCAAGAAAGAAAACGGAAAAGAAGAAAAATATCATATCAACTTGATTGATACACCTGGCCATATTGATTTCACTATCGAGGTTGAGAGAGCCTTGCGTGTTTTGGATGGCGCAGTTTTAATTGCCTGTGCAGTCTCTGGTGTTCAGTCGCAGACTATGACCGTCGACCGACAAATGAGACGCTACAATGTTCCGCGCATTTCTTTCGTCAATAAAATGGACAGAATGGGTGCCAATCCTTTCAGGACGATTGAACAAATTAACCAGAAGCTGAAGATCGCTGCTGCGGCCGTTCAAGTGCCAATTGGCGCTGAGGATGAATTCGAGGGTGTAGTGGATTTGATTCGCATGAAGGCTATCTATAACGAGGGCTCCAAGGGTGAAATTGTTGTAGAAAAGGATGAAATTCCAGAGAAAGTAAAGGCCATCGCGGAAGAGCGGAGGAGAATGCTTATCGAAACTCTGGCTGATGTGGATGATGAAATTGCCGAGCTTTTCCTTGACGAGAAAGAACCCACTCAAGAGCAGATCAAGGCTGCAATTCGACGTTCCACAATTGCCCTGAAATTTACGCCTGTCTTCATGGGATCGGCTCTCGCAGACAAGTCCATTCAACCCATGCTGGATGGGGTTTGCGATTATCTCCCGAACCCTTCTGAAATTGAGAATCTCGCCCTCGACCAAAAGAGAGAGGAAGCCCCTGTGAAGCTCGTCTCTTATAGATCTCTTCCATTCGTTGGTCTTGCCTTCAAGCTCGAGGAGAGCAACTATGGCCAACTTACATATATTCGTGTGTACCAAGGTACACTTCGCAAGGGTTCCAATGTCTTCAATGCTAGAAGCGGCAAGAGGATCAAGGTCCCGCGAATCGTACGCATGCATTCAAATGAGATGGAGGATGTTGATGAGATCCCGGCCGGTGAGATTTGCGCTGTGTTTGGCGTTGACTGTGCGTCCGGAGATAGCTTTACCGATGGCCAGCTTGCCTACAGCATGAGTTCCATGTTCGTACCGGAACCCGTCATTTCTTTGTCAATCCGGCCCAAGAACTCGAAAGACTCAGCCAACTTCTCCAAAGGTATCAACCGGTTCCAGCGCGAGGACCCCACCTTCCGTGTTCACTTTGACGAGGAGAGCGAGGAGACTATTATCTCTGGTATGGGTGAATTGCATCTGGAGGTTTATGTCGAGCGTCTGCGCAGAGAGTACCGCGTCGACTGTGTGACGGGTAAACCACAAGTCGCCTATCGCGAGACAATCGGCGACAAGACTGAATTCGACCACTTGCTCAAGAAACAAACCGGCGGTCCTGGAGACTTTGCCGGAGTTGTGGGTTGGCTGGAGCCGACTGGAAGCCTGGAGCAAAATAAATTTGAGCAGAGAATTGTCGGTGGTGCTATTTCCGAGAAGTACATTTACGCTTGCGAGAAAGGTTTCGATCTCGCCTGTGAGAAGGGTCCTTTGACTGGACATAAGGTCCTTGGAACCCAAATGGTCATCGTCGACGGCTCCACTCACGTTACTGATTCCTCTGAAATGGCCTTCAAGATCGCCACTCAGCAAGCTTTCCGAAAGGCTTTCAAGGAAAGCAAGCCCCAGGTTCTCGAGCCGATGATGAAGACTGTTATCACAGCGCCAGTTGAATTCCAGGGCGATATCATTTCGCTGCTGAATAAACGCAATGCCGTTATCAATGATACTGACATTGGCGTTGATGAATTTACGGTATTTGCCGACTGCAGTTTGAACGGTATGTTCGGCTTCAGTACCCATCTTAGAGCTGCTACGCAAGGAAAGGGAGAGTATACCATGGAATTCAGCCATTACGAAAGGGCTCCAGGTCAACTACAGTAAGTTTTACACTATTCTTTTCCGTCCTTACTGCCCTGATTCCCCATTGCCGTTGGCAAGAATTCTGCAGAAGTTGTTTTTTGAGCTAACAACGTCTCCGTGTTTTATAGAAAACAACTCATTGCCGAATACGATGAAGCTCAGGCGGCGAGACACAAGAAATAAAAAGCCTGCAACCTTTCCATTCACACTCACCTTTCGACAAATGCTCCACTAGCATTGGCAGTCAACATGGTGCCCCTTACCTACCGTCTCTTCACAGAACCGCATGCATTCTCATGCACCATGCTCGCACATACCTGTCATTTGAGCAACTTCACTACTTTCTCGATAGATCTGCATTAGCATCTTTCCACTATAGAGCCCCGTCACAGACCGCTGTACTACTATTACTACCACTACTACTACTAATGTGAACTCACCTTCTCATTCCTATCTTGATCATGTAACAAAAGGGGGAAAATATTATGGGTAAAGTTTTTCATTTCGCGCAGGAGGGTGATTTTTTTCATGGCTCCCTTCTTGGGTTGTTGGGGTTTGGGTTGTCTGCGTCCAAATATTTAAACTCACAACGCAATTCATTGTAGAGATTTCTTCATTTTTTTTAGGTTGACTTCATGACAATCAGTTTTGTTTTATTATTGTTGGTAGCTTTTGTGAACGGGGAGTATAGATTTGGCTTTCGTTCTCGGCTTTTACTATTTTATGCCTTCCTTTGCTTGGGAGAGGAATTATACAACTATGTATCGAGAGTAAAAGTTACATTAGGCATAGAATGAACGACTTGAAATGGAAGGTCTATGTACGGAAACTAAAGCTATGTACTCTGTCTGTACACGGGCAACAAATATCACAACCACATGTCTAGCATCATCCATGGTCATCTAAAGAGTCGTAGCTCAGATAGATTTCACGTTGTACTGAATAGGCAAACCACACCCGTCAAATCATCTGATTGACTTGAAGGCGATTGGTGCAGGCGCGGTATGGCATATCTGGTGTTTGACCTTGAGGTTTCTTCTGAGCCCGTCTATTTCTCAAAAATCCGCATGATTGAAAGAGTAGCTGAACCCGTAGCTGCAACCTCATTATGTCCTGAAGTAGAAGCAAGAGATGGGACAGAACGAACCCGGTTAGCCATTTTCTCAAAACATTGAATATACGTATATATATAAATGGAAATTTCGGAGTGAACTCTTACCTCCATATCGGACCCTCTCCCACCGAACTCTTTTCACTCTCTTCTCACCATGCTGTGTGATAAATTCTTTTTCCCACACTTTCATCTGTACAACTTCGTCGTCGGACGTATATTCATGCACATACTTGCCTAAAGTATGAGCATTGGATCCTCCTATAATAGTATCATAGAGTGCCTGTCCATTTCGCCACGGGATTTCGAAGTCATTAACAGCATGTACCACGGTGAGGTCGAATCCTTGACTTCCATGTGCAGAATCCATATCACCAGGTTGAGGGTTGATGCCAGTGATCCGTGCGAAACGGGTGGCAGACTCCCATGTATCCACAATATGATCAAGGATATAGTTCTGAAACTTAGGATAGGGTAACAACGCTGAGAGCAGCGGGGGGAAGATTCCGCCGGCACTATACGAGCCTACCACAGTGCGGACGTTCGAGAAAGGGGCAAACACAATAACCCCTGCCAGCGGTTCCGGGACAGACGAGGGGTCACCGAAAGTGTATCGTTCCGCAACACCAGCTGCGACTGCAGTCCCCAGGCTTTGGCCTGCAACGACGATACGGGATGGGTGGATGGAAAGCGGGGGAGAGGTGAGATAGTTGAGCACCGAGAGCGCGTCGGTAATTAACCCTTCCTCAGTTGGCGATCCGGTGGAATTCCCGAAGCCGCGATAGTCGAACGCAATGACGTGCACAGGGTGTTTTGAAGTGGATGCTGCTAGGAAACTGCGGTATATTTGGGGGCGATATCCGGACCCGAGATGAGCGGCATTTCCGTGAACTACATGCGATCAAGGGGGGTCGAATTAATGATACTACACGATGCAGTTTTGATTGTGGGTGGGAAAATAAGGTGTGGAGTTCAACCCAGTTAGGATAGCATACGGTTTACAACGACTCTCGCATTTGGGTCTTGCGCGAGAAGCTTGAAAGCAGTGGTTTTGGTGATGTCTTCAGCAGGTCCTGATGAGGGGTTGGCAAGAAAAGCTGCTTCGCTTTCCTTGAATAACTGGGGCGGGATGATGTGCCATGCATAGAGGGTCTCATTATCTGGCGTTCGAATATTGAATGGCTGGACTTGGGATTCTGTGATTGTTAGGAAAAGTGAACCAATGAATCATAAGCCTGGTGAGGGCGTGGGCTAAACAATTCAGTACTTAGGAACCCAAAATACTCGACATCATTGACATCCTGGAAGTACGTAGGATTGAGCTTGTTCGCGTAGAGTACCCTGGCGGGCGAGAATTGGTGCATTAGAAGATGAGCAAAATGTGGAAAGACTCTTCCGCTAGCAACCTATCTATATTGGGTAACATACGTTCGTTGAACAGATGGGTATGTCAACGAGAAGACACCAAGGACATATAACAGGCCCGAAAAAGCCAGTAGCCAGTAAGCCTTCTTGAAGATTGGGGCGAGTCCCATATTTAGATATGCTATAACAATAGTCAGTACATACATTGCCCAGTACTTAGAGATAGTGAGAACACTGTGCAAATGCGTGTACAAATTATACGAGAAACCGATGGTTAATTCAAGACCATAAGAGTGCTTGTGTGCCCGTCTGTTTCATCCCGGTTTCCAGTGCGTGCACAATCAACGCCGTGCCATGCCATGAACACCACCGAAAGCGACATATATATCGGAGTAGCTTGTAAATTAAGGGAGCTGGGGTAATTATAGAATTAATTATATAAAACAACACGTACCTGATATTGAATGAACGAGTAGCAAGACGCCGTTTTTAAGTTGCAATTAGACTGTTGAACTCGACGGAAAACAATAGAACGAGGAGCATGGTCACTTTAGCCGAATGTAATCTTTCTGTGAGGCTGGTGAGGTACGCTACCACATCGAATCCCCCCGAGCTACGTCCGCCAGAATTTGTTTCCACAGTGTCTTCGTTCTTCGTTCTTCGTTTCCCTTGCACAGTCGTTCGGGTGTTCTAAACTTCTACTTCGTTATATCGCGATAGACCGAGGCCAAAATCACGTGGAAAAAGTTCCCTGGTCACGTGAATACATACTCAACAATGATACCTCTATAGTCTGTAAGATCCACTCAGAGCATCCCATTTTCGTCGCTGTTTTAAGCTCAATGCTGTTCACATGATGTGAAACCTACACTGCTTTTATTTCAGTAACACACCTCACATCTCTTGTCAGCAGTCATTTTTCACATACATACTCAAGAGATAGTGATAGTCATGATGTTATATCTACAAGTTATTAATACTCAGTCTCTTTGTAGAACAGTGATGCTTTACTTCTTATAATGTATAAATTTAATGTCTTCTGCTTCTTTGAAGCATTTTCTTCATTCACTCTCAGTGATACTGTCTCTACTGTCTTCACATTCAGTTATTTACATTACTTCTTTTCAGTCTTCTTATACTAGTTACTTTCTTCACTTTCTTCTATTATTCAAATGACATGTTTTCTCAATGAACTTGCTTATAAACGCTCTTTAAATCAATCAAGAAGAGCTGACATGTCTGAAAGAAGATAGTTAAGAAGCTGTAAGAAATCCCGCTCCTCGCGGATTCTTTACCTCTATTTCTATCTCTCATGTAATCAATAGGGCTAGCGGCCCTTGGCTACACATAACTATATAGACTGGAGTTCATGAATACTATTCATAACTCAGCTTGAATGCTATTATACATTTGATTTCTACATTTTATCTTTCTACTGTGAATACTTTTAGTAGTTAATAGTACATATCACATCAAGCTGTAAACACCTGAATAATCATCTGTAAGCACTTATTCTTACATTTCAAGCTCAGTTAGTCAGCAACTGCTTATTATGACTGAAAGAACTAGAAACTCACATACTTCAATCTCTGTGAACTCTACTGCAGACACTCAGAAGCAGTCATCTGAATCATGAATAATTCTCATAAAAGAAGTCTCTGTGGTTCGGAAGAACGTACGACTGTCGGATAATAACGCGGCCGCTTCCGAACTACTAGCGTACGCGTATGAGTGTAAAGGGGCCATAGCAGCTGCTAATTAAATTAGTGTACAATATTACAATATATAAGAAGCTGGCATATATCTGTAATTGTACACTGACTTAAGCAATCTTTGAATCACATCTAATAGCATGTCTAAAAACTGATGAGAAGCACAGACTTCTTCAGAACATGATAATTTCATCTATAAAGCAATTCATAGTTATCATATCAGTGTAATTCTAGAATATCTCAAAAGATAGCATATAAAGAACAGTGAGTGAAAAAGCATCTAATTAATACTGCTTCACTTGTTAAAGAAAAACTTCACACTCAGATGAATATCACATATGTGAATAGATAAGATGTGAGAAAAGAGATAAGAGTGATGAACTAGATTCAAAGAAGATCACTCTTCACTTAAAGAGATAAAAGAGAGAGATGATTATCACTGAAGTTATACAATAATAACAGAAATCATATAATGATATAGCAATATAATGATATAGTGATAGAATAATATACTAATATAATAACACAGTAATATAATAATAGACATTGTATAATTAATAAGAAATTATTAAAATGAATATCTTCTCTAGCTGATATAAATAACACTCTTCTCTGCTATCTGAACTGAAAGATATACAGAATCTCTCAGAGAATTTACTCAAAGCAGTAAGAAAAATAGTCAAAACTGCTGAATCAGAATTGAAGCTTTATATACATATAAGAATTCTAAATGAGATTAAGGTCTTGCATACACAGTGACAGACTGAGACAGAAGTTAAATAACAATTGACATTCACTGTGAATCAGGCATTCACTATGAAGAGCTTTACTAATACAATTATTATCATTAATAAGAATAGAGAAAACCAGATCTTAGATCTGCAGTGAGAGATTGAATGTTTACATAGATAGATAACTACACTGAATCTGAAGATCTTATTATAATCATTTACAATCTCTTCAGAAGTGTACATATCATCAGAGATCACTGCACAGAATAAGAATCTGAGCATGAGATACATTAAGTTAAAAGATCTGCTGAAGTTATTAAGCTTTAATAACAACTGAAAAAATGATGCTGTAATTAGACTGACCGTGTGACCGTGTCTGGGACCAGGACCAGATTTTTTGATAGTCTCATTACCAATTCGACTGATCCCATTACATGGTTTTAACATTAGATAGTAGTCCCATACTGTCCCAGTGGGACTTACTGTCTACTCTTGTCACATTTTCCAAATGGGACCATGATTTCCACTTCTCAATTTAAATTATTTTTATTGCTTTAAATGACTTTAAATCTCATTTGAGTGTTACCAAAAAGTGTTACTTTTTAAAAAATTAAAAATAGTCTAAAAAAAACCTTAAAATGTCTAAAAATAGTAACTTTATGCCAAGAATGAGACTAAATGAGACCAAATGGGACCACTTTCTCATTTTTTTCAAGTCATGGTTCCATTTTAAGATCTGATATATAGTCACTTTACCTGTTTTTTTGATAGCCAGTCCCAGCGGGATTCACGCCAAGAAATGTATGGGACCAGACTAAATGGGATCAAACGTGAAATTCATGGTCTCGGCGGCCAGTCTAGCTGTAATCAGCTGACTAAGTCAGATGTAATTATATTATCAGATTGAATATGAACTCATAGATAGATAGTTAACAGAATTTCAACAAGTCTTAAGATCTGTCATGTT